TKKTTTTTGGCTCCCAGTTACACGGTATCGTGGAAGGAAATGTTCCTAATCTTCTTTCGGGCGACARCTTACATTTCGTTAGCCGACTCTGCTCACTTTCGCACGTTTAGGAAGATCGAATAAACCGAAATTTGYGGATCGTTTGATGATCGATCCAAAAATCTCTGTACAGAGTGTAAGGAACCAAATGCATTACCAAAGGACTTGTGGTGTATCCTCAATTTGTCAAGAGTGTTTTGACAAATGTTCTGAAAATTTCACACGCAGAATTTTCAAGCAAACTTGTATGACCGCGGAAGTCGCAATCCCGACAGATCTATTTCGGCTTTTTGAAACAYCTGTCCGTTTCTTTTGTGCTGCTCGTTTCTTTTTCCACTCTATTCCCCAAAAWTCTAGAAACAACGATGTGCAATATCCCTCGTATTGAAATGTGGTCGAACCCATATTTCAGTTCGAATAATTCGGGTTTCTCGAAATTCGCTCGAGTGCATTTATGGCATAGTTTTTCTCTTCATATTTCTTGCACGGCTGTTCCTCCGGTGAAACAAACGTTCAGCCTGCGACGTGACCGAGAATATCCCCTACATTTCCAGATCACTTGTCGTCACTGTCAGGAAGCAGCTACAGAATTCAATGACACATTGCTGGTTTTTTTTTCGAAAAAACTTAAATTTGTTATGATCTTCGGTGTCGGTAAAATGGTAAATGGTGAGTATTGTTCGTCGACAATAACTACGATGACATCATTCTAATAGCTTGTGTCCGCCAGGGGACCGAGTACAAGAACGTAAAGGTAMTGTACTTATTCTTAGCAACAGGATTCATGCTGACACCGTTCGTATCATGATCTATCAATTTCAGACTTGGATCCGTGCCTTCCGGGAAACCCACACAAAACGCAAAACGGGTTTCTGGGCCTTAGTCGTATTTTGAGAACCCATTGACTTGTTGTATTGTTTTTAAAGAACACTCCCAGAGTATGTCTGTCCACCCTCGCCCGACTRCCTTCTATGATTCTGGAAACAAAAACATTTCATTTTTCCGTTTACGACACACCGGCACACCCGAAAACTGTTGATCCCCYGCAACAGATTTCCATCCGAGGATGTCGATCCTCTGCTCAAAATTTCCCGCCATAAAATCTGAGCGCGCCAAAACCTCCCCACATGTGCGTCGACACGAAGGTTTTGAATTTCTTTCAGTCTTTTTTCCGACAGAAAACACGTAAATACTTGCGCCCACCKTACGCGTTCAACCATATTAATTTGTCACCACCCGGGACAAGCAACCATCACTGCACGAAACGGTAGAGGAGATCTTCCCATTCTCTCTATCTAAACCAAAACAGCTCGGATCTAATACGATACTTCATAGTCTCYCTCATTTCATATGTCTGAATAGTCCCGCCATTGCGACGGTGCACTGTTTGTACAAATTATAATATTACATATTCCGAATCCGATTCTGATTCGTGTTTCTCGGTAACTACAAACAATAACAACAATATGACRACAACGGGTGGGAGTAGTATGCGATCTCTCATCAGGCCCAGGACATCGTCTCCGCGCAGTCCTTCCATTCGGCAAGCAAGAGCCTTATCGCCACGATCTGTCATATTTGAATGCCAGGATGAAGATGTTGAACATTTGAAGCATCTCACACAGCCCGACTATGGCGATTTCGACWCGAGCTGTGAGGATTTATTCTTCGATGATGATAACGGTAATAACAACGACGGGAGGAACTCAACTACTCTGCCCATGTTATATCCCACAACCTATCCAAGATCTAATATTGCAATGAACATTTACAGCGATCGAAACAATWCTCGAAGCAACAAGCGAAAGCTGTTTTCTTCTGAACTACCGCCCAGATGCTCTCTGAATCTGAGACATCGGAAGATATCCGATGAGACKGTCGAATGGCTTGCCAGCAGCAGTCGATACAATCCCAATAGCGATAACAACAGCTCACCCTCTCACGTCTCACCTGGTACCGAAAACGAATACTACGAAGTGTTGAAGCCAAATCCAAGCCAGGAACAACACTTGGCAATTCGTGCTACTCCTCGATTGCAACCCGTGCGGGTGGAAGAGCTTTGGCTGGGACCCGTGTTTGAATCGTCCCAGACRGTCCTGGCCGCGATTGAGACCCTTCCCGCCTCTGTGATGCACCTTGATCTTGACCTGAGGAACACGCTGCACCTTCTCCCCGAAGCCATGCCACTTCTGTTCGCAAAGGGTCACCTGAAACATCTCAGCCTCCGTGTGTTTGGGGATGCGGGGGCCATCGAAGTGGCCAAGTGGATGAACCAGAATCCTAACCTCGAACACCTGGATTTAAGGGGGAACCGCATCGGTTCCCTCGGGGCGCGGACGATTGTCGATGCCATCATTTCATGGAGCGAGAGACACACCGGAACCACCATCGACTGCGACGATTCATACCCATTGCATCGGCTGTCGCACCTGAATCTWAGCTGTAACTGTATACTCCATGGAGATCTGATTGGACAGCTGTTGGCTCTTAACTCGACTCTCACCGACCTGGACCTCGGCTACAACTGGTTTGGAGACCAGGATGTCGAAGAGATATGCCGGGGACTCAGCAAAAATAAATCCTTGAGAAAGCTGAACCTCTTTGGTTGCAACCGAATATCATCCCTAGGAATGAAGGCCATCCTTCATTGTTTGAAAGAACACAACACCTCGCTGCACACAATCGGCATCCAGGCCTTTGACGAAGAGGGAGAGGAGTTGGTTAGGCAAATCAAGTACTGGTTGAAGCTCAACAAAGCCGGACGGTGTCTGGTGAAGTCGTCGCTTCCAGCGTCTTSTCCATCGCCACCTCCGCAGCAAGGTAGTCTAAGCAGACACCGATGTGGCACAAGTGGTCAAAAGAAAGTACCTATGGGCCTGTGGCCTCTGGCACTGGGGAAGTCGGAGGTGGATCCTGATTCGATGTTCTTTTTGGTGCGAGAAGGCCTGAGTCCTTGGATCACTAATCATAACAGCGAGCCGACATAGATACAGTACTTTTTGTTTTTCAAAAGTAACTCATAATCAAATTATTGCGTCGCAATTGCTAACAATACTACGAGACAGAGGACACACTAATTGCGCCTGAACATCTTTCGCGGATTTGCAAGTWAAAGTAGTGAAATAAGGTTTCATTTAAGCCTGCCGATACCCAGGGACAAAAGGTCAACCACTTGAACCGATTACCCAAGATGTCTTTCAGACTACAAAAACGAACGWGATGTACGCACCTCTTCGTTGATTGACAGATGAGTTAACGATTTGACTTATCTCTGCATCATATTCGGAGCAACGCTTGAAAGGACACAATTCGACGTGTTGCTATCTATTGATTGTCTCGTGGTGGCAGCTACCTCACGATACGACGAACCACGACCAAAAACATCGGTTCGACTGAAGATCACACACGATGCGGAGCGCTCAAGACAACCATACGCCACTGGCCGTAAGAGACAAGGTTTTTCGATACTATTAGCTGTCCCATCATTTCAAGCACAATGCTTCGAATAAAATTGTAACATTCTAGCTCCATATCAAGTCTAATTTCTAGKTTATACCTGTTGAAGAATGTGATGGATCAAAATTGTATCTACACCGGAAGTCAACTCCGTAAATCTGGCTGATTCGAATTGCCTTTTTTGGACCAAATAGGTGRAAAATGAGACCTGAAGATGACACGAGGGATGGATGAGATAAAGGAACCGTTGTAAAAATTACCACATTAAGCACAGTAGTAACCTAGTGCAGCACTTCTGCCAATTAAGCTCAGCCAGATTCATCTTTTCGACAAGTTATTGCTAGAACATCCATTTAATACACCTGGAATCCACAAATGATCCATACAATTTACAGATTCACTCAGCCTGCTCCTAGATGTCAATCACAATGAGGTTGATATTTTCTCTTAATTCAGCTAGCAAATCATCTCCAGTAAAAAAATCTGAGAGAAGATGTTTAGTACAAAGATAGCTAGTAGTATTGCACACAGCTTATATTCAGAACAAGTAGCTCCTACCACTAGTAGCAGTGCTGGTGTACCACTGCTACTACTAGTATCAGTACCACTATCTAACACAAAGTAAGCATTTGCCTTGAGGGTGGTGCTCTCATAATCTCATCAGCAAGAAAAGATTTTTTATTACAATAAAACAATAATGGATATTTCACTTAAGAATGCTTAGTAAAGCATGAGTAATGCACRCAGGCAATCATCCTCTAATAGTATGATGGAATAGAAGTGCAGATAGTACTTTTTCGGCTTTCTAGATGATGAGAATGATTGGGAGTTTTTCAATCAGAACCACCATACTAAAATCAAACATGTTTATTCAATCCCCCACATTAGTACCACTACCTCCTGTGGAAAATCTAGCTAGYAGCACAATACTAATGATAGTGTCACAAGAACATCCTGGTTTTAGCAAGAGAGGGAGGGATGTTGTGGTGTATGACAACATTCAGTGATGGCAGCTATATCATTACTACTAGTACTAGACCACATACCAGCAGCAATGGTACACCATATGATGTGAAATATGATCATGGAATACAAGTAGTGATTGCATTTAGATCTCTAAATACCAATGGCAAGCATTGATACTAGTAGATRAAAATGGAGAAAAGTGTAACACAATATCTTTCAAGAACACAGTGCCAAAAAAGAATGACAAGGCACCATAGAAGGAACCAGTATGCAAGAAAATCTTGCATRTTGTCATATTATGGAATGTAGAACACAACAGGATAAACAAGACTGCCTGGTGTGACATCAGTATGATCATACTAGCTTCAACAATCAGCCAAGAAGTCCTTGAATCAATGGTTGTGCAACAAGATGGATGCATTGTCAACAAGCAAATTGAACACCATGAGTTCCATGATGTTGGTTGGCAGAACCACCATGCTCATAGAAATTTAAATCCTGCATTTGAAAAAGATAGAAAATACTGTGATACTAGAAGAAAAAGTGGGAATAAATAGTGGTGGAGTAATCAAGGAGGAGGAGGAGCAATATTTCAATGTTTCTTGTGCTACTACTACTAGTAGTAGGAAAATGAATCACAATGATGTGCTGGCAAACCAGAACAAGAAACAGGTTTGATCTTGATTGACACGAAGAAATTATGCTCAAATAAGAATGCCAGTTTTCTAGAGGAAGATGCTGGTGATGCCAACAAACAGAATAGTACTACTAATCAATTGATTTTTCTGTAGCTACTCTCCTACATTGATCTCTTTTGCCAAATCTTGCTAGTAGTAATGATAACAAATGACTCCCCCCCCTAGTACTGCTAGTAGTACTAGTAGCTAATACTAGTAGTACTACCACTATTAGTACTAGTAGTCCCCACCAGGAGTTGTTCTAGTAGTACTAGTACTAGTAGTACTACTATGAAACAGCAACACAACAGCCAAGAAGAAGTACTAGTAGTAGTACTAGTAGTACTAGCTACTAGTACCTACTCACTACTAGTAGTACTAGTACTAGTAGTAGCTATTAGTAGTAGTACCTCTTACAAGATACTACTAGTAGTAGTAGCTAGTAGTAATAGGGGTCCTGCATGACCTTTTCCCTTCTTACTGTATTGTTGAAACACTAGTTGTGCACAAGTAAGCCGACAGGCGACTTTCAATTAGCATGTTGGGTTGCACAAAAAATGCAACAAAGATTAACTTCATTACGAGTGAAAACGAGGACAACAATGACTCTATTTTAGTCCCATGAGAAAACTTCACATTAGTACGAGTAGTACTACGGTACGTACTACTACGTAATAGCGTTCAAAAGCAAGGGTGTCTTTGTTTTCGAACTCTCGTATCTGCAAGGACTGACTTGAAAATCTAGCCACTGCACACTGAACAGGGTTAGCCTCGAAATGGAACAGAAGCTTTCGTACTAATTCAAAGACCAAAGGCATTACTTCGAATTATCACCATGTCAAAATCATCAGCTGCAGCAAATGGCCAAGCTCTCTGGGCCAAACAACCCAAAGCCAATGCCGAACTGTTCGCCCTTACTTACGGTGCCCTCGTGATGGAGGTCGTAGGAGACGCCGATGGAAACGTAAAAGAGATCAATGAACARCTCGAAAACATTGGATATTCCATTGGCATTCGATGTGTGGACGAGTTCTTGGCAAAGTCAGACGTCGCAGTWTGCAAATCTTTTGAAGAAACGTCAAACGTGTTGGGAAAGACAGCATTCAAAATGTTTTTGGGGGCCAACTGCGACGTCCACCAACACAGTGCCAAGTCCTTTAGTTTGATTATGCACGAAAATCCACTCACGGTCTTTGTAGAGCTGCCCGACGAATATAAAGAAACACTCCAGTATACTATCGTATACTGCGGAGTAATTCGCGGTGCACTGGAGATGCTAAACTACAAAGTTGACTGCACGCTCGTCAAGAGCACGTTAAAGGGGGACGATGTTGATGAAATCAAAGTAGATCTGAAGAGTGTAATGCAGGACGGTGCTGGTGATGACTATCACGAAGAATAAAGATGCTTCGGTGAAAATAGTGACTACGATTATAAACAACAATCAGAGTACACTTGCCGTTGGCTACAACTATGAATTGTTTTGTTCGGATATMATCGACAYAGTAATAGCAGTAATAGGTTTCAAAGTGTTCAGTGTTCTGCAAAAACCATCTTCTCTAGGTCGATAGTAGTATATTCAATCTGTTCATTTGCGTAGCAGGATACCCATACCAAAATCTCCAACCACATTTCGTAAAGACCATTGCGCTGTTTTCTCATATACAGCTTATCCAGTTACTGAAGTTTCGAGATCAATTTTCAAGACCTCGGCATACTCTTTGATGATCGATGGGTCTTTGCAGGAGGTCAGCAGTAAACATGCGGCGTTATTTTYAAAGGGACAGACCTTTGGTCGACAGGTCTCGGCTCCCATATGGCTTGCAATACAATCGTCAAGGATAGCGCAATAGGGTTCCTCTTTCGCAATTTCCTCCATAATCAACTTCTCGATGTTTTCAGACGCCGCCACAAGTTGATCGGAGGTCAAGTCCGATGCTATCAAATCGTCTACAACCTTGGTGCCCACAGGATCTGCTAGTCGTTGACAATAATCAAGGGAGACTTCCATGGTGCACACTCGATATATGTCGTCCAAAGWGCTGTACGATTTGGTGTCTTTCCAAGCGTCGCGTTCGTCCAAAAAGGTGAACATGTCGCCTGACTTTTCATCGCCAAACAAGACAGAATCCATCATAGTWGCTGCTCGTGTCGCAGCCTTGGTCATATCTTCTGTAGCAGTTTTGTGTGCTTTTACCTTCTGTTCTAGGAATTCGATGTCTTGGTTCGTCGCAGCTTTTGTTGCTGTGCCACTGCTACTTCCAGACGAAGATCCAGGAACTCCCACCGGAAGCTGCACATTCTTTTTTCTCTTCGGCAAGAAAAATGTACGTARCCGTTGTCCAAAGCCATCTGTGGACCAGRTGTGCCATCGACTCAACGCTTGCATAGTTTTGATCCAATCCAAGATCGACTCGTAGTATTGCCAATTGCCCTGGAATTTGACCGTATTTGGCACGGGAGACTCTCCCATCATTCCAACGCTCCTTTTCTTACCGAAGAGAAGTTTCGTTACGGGATCTTTGTCGTAAAAGGGACCCGATCCAATGAACATGAGAGAAGGGTAATGGGTGATACCAGCTGCCTCRCAAATTTGCAGATGGGCCGAATTTAATTCGCAATCAAAAAGAGCCTGGAAGCAGCATTATCATTTGTATCCCATTTATTCAAAAAGGCAAGCACGTGTTAAGAGTTGACATACGTAGAAAAATAGATCCAGCAAACATTGTGTTAAGATACATATTGAAATCGACCATTCCATTTTGTTGAGATAGTTAGCGATAGGTTCAGAGTGAGAAATGGCAGGGTCGTATAGAAACGAATCAAAATTTCATGCCGAAAGCGACGGATGTATCCATTCCAATAGCCGCTYTACGTACCATGATCAATTTGGACTGACTGCTACCAGCGTCGAGCAATGCAGCTATTTGATTCCAGTAGGGCGCCAATTTCTGAGAATTCGTGTCCCATCGCGCGTAGAACATCACCGCTAAGTCATATCCTGGGTAGTTATCGAGGTAGTATGAAAGTGTGTCGGAATCCCAATGATCTAGGTGGTTRTCCCGTCGAACGGTCGCACGCTGGTCTGGATCTTTCCCACCGGAACCTGCTCCCAATCCATGAGTTGTCGTCGTGATGCCTAACAAAAGGGCACCTACGATGCCCAAAGACAACGTAAACATCGGTGAAATCTGTCGTCTAATAAAACGCATTATTCTTTATTGCTCTCGCGTTGTCRARGGTTCTACTCTACAATGGCYGTTTTCTTCTATYGAGTTCGCCTCTGAGGCTATCGGACACAGTATGATTGTGCCGAGGTTATCCCGGTACTGTAGATGCCAAGAGTCCACTCGATCGAAGATTGTTGATCTGACCATACTGGAAAACTCGATGTGAACAGTAAAACATCGTGACGAGATTATTTTTTGGATCAATCATGATAGACACGTGGAACAGTCACGAATAGTTCTGGTCCCTCCAGCGCCCACGAACAAAAATTTGTGAATCCCCTTTTGAATTTATCACCCTCAAATTTGTTAGTCATTTCCTCGATTTTTTGTGGGCTAACCATGAACTRCTACTAATATTAGTAATGTAGTASTAGTAGTASTASTACTASYWMT